GTGCCTCGCTCAGCCAGTGAGCGGGAACCGGTCTGTATGTGGGATCCGAACCCTCGGGCGGGTGCGCCGCCGCGCTTCCCAAGCGGCGCACTATCCAGTGCGCCACCGGGCAGGCCCTGGAAAATCTATTTCTGCCACCATAGGTTTGACAACTTTCTGATACTGAAAGCCTTTTCTGATGAGTTTCGTGGGGATATTAATAAATGTGAATTTCAGACATTGTATAATGATAAAATGAATCAATATTTGCAAGATCTGCATAACTCTGTGAACTAATATCTCCCAAATGACTGATATATATATGGTGTTACAAAATCATGCACAGGTTAAAGATCCATTCAAAGTATAGGACAGACCAATGGGTTTCATGTAACAATACAAAAAGTTCACTGATACATATTAGATTCCACACTGCATCTAACATTTCAGAAACTACCAGTTGTCAAGTTTTGGTGCAGTACCAAAGAATAGCCTCAATTATCTGAAAAGGCTATTAAAATGTTCCTCTTTTTTCCAACCACATACCTGTGTGAGGCCAAATTTTCATCATGTATTTCAACCAAAACAACACATTGCAATAGATTGAGTGCAGAAGCAGATATAAGAATCCTGCTGTATTCTATTAAGCCAGACACAGAAGAGATTGTAAAAATGTAAAATAATCCACTCTCTTCAGTAATTATTTCGTGTTGGGAAAGATAATTGTTTGACATAAAAATGTTACTTATTTTAACATATAATGGATTTAATAATTTTTATTTTTAAATAAAATAAACAAGCTTTAAAAATTTCTCAGTTTTAATTTCTAATAAGGTAAATATTATTAAACTTAACCCATATAAAACAAAAGCTCTTTGAAGTCTTCAATAATCTAAGAATAAAAGGGATCCTGAAACCAGAAAGTTTGAAAACTGCTACCTAGACTCTTAGGTCAGCTTGGTGTCAAAAGTTCTATCAATTTCTTGGAAGAGAAACAGGATTTGCAAAGTCTCAAATAAATATAAATATCCCAAGATTTTTATTAACTACAAAGGGAAAGGCAGCAACTTTACAGTGCACAAATCCAGTGGAAGGCACCTAACCAAGTGATCAAGCCCAACATCACAGTAATAACACATACAGACATCATAAACTCCTTGATATGATGGACTAAGGATACAAGATCTTTTCTTGCTACTCTTTCCCAAAATGTAAAATCTCATTCAAATCGTGAGAAAACATCAGACAAACCCAAATTCAGGAACATTCAAAAAAATAAATTGAAGGGCTGGCCGGTTAGCTCAGTTGGTTAGAGCACAGTGTTGATACACCAAGGTCAAGGGTTGGCATCTCCATACTGGCCAACTGCCAAAAATAAACAATCGACCAATAATCTTCATAAGTGACAAAGTCACTTATGAAAGGTGAGGAGAGCCTGAGGAACAATTTATAGGCTGAAGAGACTAGAAATAACATCCAAATGCAACGCAGAATCCAGAACGGATCCAAAACTAGAAAAAGAACATTAGTGGGAAAACTACTAAAATTTGAATGAGGACTGTAGTTACACTATTACAATAACTTAATTCCTTGGTTTTGATCATTATACTATGATTATATAAGACAGTAAAATCATAAAAAATTGGGTTAGAGATATAAAGAAATCCTGTATTACTTTTCAAACTTAACTGTAAATCTAAAATTAGTTCAAAATAAGAAGTTTTTAAAAAGTTTCCTAGGCTTATGAAAACTGTGAACTGTGGTTTTAACTTAACACAAATCTTTTCAGTCATTGTCTTGGACAATAACTGCTTTGAAGAGACTCAGAAACTTTCCAAAGGCTTTTACTTTCATAAAGTGCTTATAGCTCCCACAATGAAGTACATCTAAGACACAAATTAAAACCAAATTCTTAACCAGATGGCTGTTTAAACATAAACAAGACTAGGAAACAATATGCTTCTAGAGACTAGATTATGATGATTAAAAAAAATAAGCAATAAACTAAATGTCAAAGAAAAAAGTGGTTCTGGAGGAATTTGTTTAGTATTTGTCTGGAGGACAAAAATTGGTATAAATACACCAAAACGATTGTTTTCTCAGAAATATCATTCCATTGGAATAAAGAAATGTTCCTAATATAGTCATAATCGTATAGTTTGACCTTTTGTGTTCTTAAATGCAATGGTGTGAAGACACAGACACTTAGCTAAGACTTTTATTTTTATTTTTTACAAAAAATAAAAGGGTGTAAGGGATGGCAGTGGCAAAGGGATTGCCAAATAGTGGTTACCCTCCACACCCTAGAAAAATTACTGGAGCCATTATTCAAGGAGAGGTTGCCATTAAACTAGTTAATTCTGTAAATTAATATCTGTCCTTTCCAAAGAGGTAGTTGTGAAACTTTGGAAATATACTCTCTACCCACAGGTACCAGAGCTACATGTTAAATATTAATGTGTTATCATAAAAATGTGAAAAGTATATTTAAAGACACAGAACACTATAGTGTAGATATTAGAAGATAGTACCACTGGACCAGTGAGAACAACAAAATCATTACAACAGGAAAGAGAAGAGCATGTTGAGTAAAGCTTTCACACACAAGAGAAGCTAAGAGAGATATGACAATGGTCTCAGTACGTAAGGTCACAAAGACCCAGGCACAGCCAAGCAGAAGGCCTCTATAGAAGCTAAAATCTCAAACACAGAAAGGTCCCTTTTCCCTGAAAATGTGCTGTAATCCATGACAACTTCGACTATACACTTTCTGCTTGTTTTTAACCTTTTACTGAAGTACACTGACATATAGTGTGCAGACAGAAAAGTACACATATCACAAGTATATGGTTTTGAATTTTCATAAACCAAACACACCATGTAACCAATGCCTAGGTCAAGAAGCAGAACCTTGGGCTGGCCCCGTGGCTCACTCGGGAGAGAGCGGCGCTGGGAGCACCGAGGCCACGGGTTCGGATCCTATATAGGGACGGCCGGTGCACTCACTGGCTGAGCGCGGTGCAGGCGACACCAAGCCGAGGGTTACGATCCCCTTACCGGTAAAAGAAAAGAAAAAAAAAAAAAAAAGAAGCAGAACCTTACGAACATTCTGGAAGCCTCCCTGCCGAGGGTTACTATCCCCTTCCCGGTAAAAAAAAAAAAAAAAAAAAAAAAAAGAAGCAGAACCTTACGAACATTCTGGAAGCCTCCCTCAAATTCCCATCAGTAGCCATGATTGAAAAGTTCCAAAAATTTTATGGCTGCCTAATTTTTAAGGGTTAAGGAAAACACTATGACACAAGGCTGCCCCTAACTGCTTTCTTTTTTCTATCCTTTTACCTTAACTACTTTTAACACTTCCTTTTCCTCCACTCTAGATTAAGATACACCTTGGTTTCCTTAAAAGATAAACACTGACATTTATCTACAAATTGCATACCATCGACAATATGCACTGTTTTTTAAAAAAGGGTCTTTGTAACTACAGCATGTTTATAAAACAGGACTAGAAAGTGAATAAAAAACTGTCGTCTTTGTATCTCAAGCATGTTACTTCATCTCTCTACACTTCAATTTCTTCAACTATAAACACAACCCAAAATAATTTAATAGACGGTACATTCTCCCCAGCCTCCTGCCTTGAATCATCTGGGTACGATTTACAATATTATTTTCACCAGCCCACTACAAAGGTATCTGTACCTTCTGCTCAGCAAGTAACGCCCAGAATACTCAGAATCTAACAAACTGCATCCTTTATTAACTAGAGTTATTTGGTACACAGTTTAAAAGAGAAAGAGAGAAATGGTGAGAGAAGGCAACATCAAAGATTTAACCATTCTATTTTTTTTTTTTCCCTTTTTGTCTTTTTTCATGTCCGGCAATGGATCGCAACCCTCAGTGTCGCGCCCGTACCGGACTGGGACTGGCAACGGGATCGCAACCCTCGGTGCTGCGCCTGCACCTCGCTCAGCCAGTGAGCGGGAACCGGTCTGTATGTGGGATCCGAACCCTAGGCGGGAGCGCCGTCACGCTCCCAAGCGGCGCACTGTAGCAGTGCGCCACCGGGCCGGCCCTAACCATTCTATTTTTGAGTATGTTTAAAACTTTCCGTGTGTGTGCATGTGTGTGTGTATCAGTTTTTTAAGAAGAGAGGCACTTGTTTGGCTATATAGCCTTTCCACTAGGCTTAATAACCCTTTTGATCATAAATTTTCATTAAAGGAGTCAGCACTTTCACTTGAGAACTGAAAGAGATAGATACAGACTTTTGAAAAATGACAGTATACCTAGCACATAGTTGACAGACATAAGGAAACAGGATACTATATATAAAATCAAGGAATCTTCATGACTTAAAAATTATCTCACCATACTAGACAGGAAACAGTGAGGGCCCCTGAAGATACAAACAGTATTTTTAAAAATTCTTTGGCAAAACCAAGCAGGTAAGAGATCATTCATTCATGCATTTTAACTTGGCTTCAATTCAAACTTACTTCTCTGACTTCCACAAGATGGTCTGGAGGTAAGTGAGCTTTTTTGTTCACTGATTGCAGCTTGGAATGTCCAACACTAAAAAAGGAAATGGCATTTTGACTTGGTCTCCTCTGGGATATAGGAGAATTACCACTAGATGCAAGTGAGAAGCTCCGTGACTTCAGAGGAGGATTATTCTGTTAGACAAAGAAAACCAAAAAAAAATTTTTTTTTAATTTAGGCTCTCTAATCATCAAACTACCATATACTTGAGGCTCACACATGAACAGTTTTAAAAATTAAATTAACCTCAGAATTGACTACAAGAACATTTCTGAAGATGATAAAATTTAAGAAAGTCAAAATTTAAACATTTCATACATCCCATAGTAAACTGGTAATTTATTTAGAAAATGAATTTCAGTTTTGTGTTGTCAAAAAATATTTTTTCACATTTTACAAACAGAATAAACAAAAAATTTCTAATTATGTTTTTTTAAACACCACGATTAACACAAAAAATGTACTGAGTAATACGCAATATAATACTTTCCTTAACATAACATGCAAGTATCCTTTGGAACAAACTAGTACCTTCTGATGTCTGCCAATGACTAGAATCTTGTGGTATGAGAAAGCTATGAGACTTCCTGAAGACTAACATTAAGATTTACTTGGGGGGGGCCAGCCCCGTGGTGCACTCGGGAGAGTGTGGCGCTGGGAGTGCAGCGGCGCTCCTGCCACGGGTTCGGATCCTATATAGGACTGGCCGGTGCGCTCACTGGCTGAGCGCGGTGTGGGCGACACCAAGCCAAGGGTTGCGATCCCCTTACCGGTCACGAAAAAGACAAAAAAAAAAAAAAAAAAGATTTACTTGGGGGAGAAGAATGAAAAAAAAGTAGCAAAAGTCAAGTTATGACCTAGATCCTTTAAACATGCCCATATATTACTTTTTGGATATCTCTAACCTCAGATTTCAAATACTAAGACTCTCCTCTTGGGCTGGCCAGTTACCTCACTTGGGAGAGCATGGCACTAATAACACCAAGGTCAAGGGTTCAGATCCCTGTACCAGCCAGCCACCAAAAAACAACAACCAAAAAAACCCCCATTTCACTGAAAAAAATTAAAAACATTCCAAAGAAGATACACAAATGACTGACCAATAACACACAAAAAGATGCTCAATATGATTAGTCATTAAGGAAATGAAATCAAAACCACAATAAGATTCCATTTCACACCCCTAGGATGGCTATAACTTCTTAAAAAAGAGGATAATAACAAGTGTTGACAAGGATGTTGAGAAATTGGAACCCTCATACACTGTTGATGGGAATGTAAAATGGCGTGTCCACCTTGGAAAACTGTTTGGCAGTTACTCAAAAAGTTAAATATAAAACTACCATATGACCCAGCAATTCTACTCCTAGACATATACCCTAGAGAACTGAAATCATATGTTCACACGAAAACTTGAACACAAATGTTCATAGCAGCATTATTCATAATAACCATAAACTGGAAACAAAATGTCCACAAACTGATGAATGGATTAAAAAATGTAGTATATTTATACAATGGAATATTACTCAGCCTTTAAAAAGGAATAAAGAACTGACACATGCAACATGGATGAACTTTGAAAAAGTATGTTACGTGAAAGAAGCCAGACACAATAAACCACATATTGTATGTTCCATTTATATGAAGTGCCTGGAATAGACAAATCCATGGAAACAGAAAATAGATTACTGTTTGCCAGGGGCTTGGGAAGGCAGAATAAGAAGTGACTGGTGATGGGTATGGTTTTTGGGGGGAGTGATAAAAATGTTCTGGAATTTTGTAGCTGTAAACAGTTGCACAACCTTGTGAATATACCAAAAACCACAGGATTATACACTTTAAAAGGGTGAATTTTATGATATGTGGCTAATTATCTGAACTTAAAAATGTAAAAAAATAAAATAAAATAAAAACGTTATTTCCCGACTTTCATGCACTAATATCGTATATAAGTCCACATACCTTTCCAATTGCTTCAGTGTGATGTTGTGTACATATCTGAAGTCTGCTAACCCAATGTTGTCGCTCTTTAGCATCTGTGGCTGATAAAAAGAACGTAAAAGTTATTTACTTTTATATTTATTTTTGGAATACAATTAATAGTCTACAGCATGAAGAACAGATCACTGAAAATCAGAGCTTGGTCCCACTCACTCTAGAGTAAATGTTCCTGACTGGAAGGAGGAAGGAAAGAGGCCAAAGCATCAACCTTGTTAGAGAACACAGCAGCTTGATGTGGATATTTCATAAAGAGGATAAATTACATGCAGCCAGGTGGGGTATGAGACTGACATGTCTTAAGCTTCTCATAAAAATTTATTCTTATTTGAAGGAATAACCTTTATTAAGGATCTGACGTATAATCAATACTTTCAGATCTGTAGCAGCATGCTCAATTAGGATTACCATTAACTTTATATATATTTATTAAATAAAAAAATACAAACTCCTACACAAATTAATCTAAACAGAAGTATACTTTATTTTAATGAATATGGACATTTTAATAAATCCCAACTATGTACATTAGTCACTGAAAACTGCAAAGAGGGCATACAAAACAAATCAAGTAAAGGAGCAAAATACATTTCTATGACAGACATAAAAAATATTATTTAAGGGCCGGCCCGTGGCTCACTCGGTAGAGTGCGGTGCTGATAACACCAAGGCCCCGGGTTCGGATCCTATATAGGGATGGCCGGTTTGCTCACTGGCTGAGCGTGGTGCTGACAACACCAGGCCAAGGGTTGAGATCCCCTTACCGGTCATCTTTAAAAAAAAAAAAAAAAATTATTTAAATAAATCTGAGTTTTTAAATTTCTCAGTAATCGGGGTTTCATCTACATGAATATTTTAGGGGATCTAATCGTAAACAGATTTGTTTACTAGGGAAAAATGTTACTTTTTGAAACAGATTTAATAAATTCTCAAAGCAGTTCTAAGATTTAGAATATTGTGTCTACATCACTGATTACAGTAGTTTCTATTTCCAAAACCTGAATGAAAGCAGGTAAGTATGTCTCAATGGAAAATCACAGTATCACAGTATTATTTCTCATATCTCAATCGTACCTCTGAGTTTATACTGTTCCCCACTGGCAGCGTTTACAGTGAAGGTGTGAGAGTCCTCATCACTGGGTGATATTACAGCTCCTGCAAGCTGCAAAGTACCTCTGGGTTTTTGATTTCTAGATTGTTCATTCACAAAGTACTCCAATAGCCCAGCTTCATTGTTTAAAACAAAAAACCTGTAATGATTTTTAAAAAGTCATATTTTTTAAACATTTCATCTAGCCAAACTAAGCAAAGCAAATTTCAATCACTTACACATGTTAGGGTTTTGCTATTAAAAAAATAAAATCCAAAAGTAGTTCAAGAAGTACTTGGAAACACTAGACTGAATGTCCTAGTAGTAAAGATTACTGAAAAATTAAATGAGTTTAATAAAAGATAGGCTGGTCCAAAGGTAGTAAGTTATTTCAACTGATCGTTCAGTCAGTAACAGTTGCAACTTCTTGTTCTACTCTTTCCCCCTTCTCACTATTGCACTTGACTAATCAAAATAAAATTAATAATAAAATAAAAAATACAAAACCTTCAGCTGAGGAAGAGGCATACCAGTTAATTCACAAAAGGAGACAAAGAAACAGTATCCTTTCAGAGGAAGATTTCTCTCAAGTGCCCAAAGACAAAAGGTAGTGAGAATTTTTATTTAAAATGTACTGGAACTGGACAGGCTTCCAAAACAAACAAAATGAAACAAAAACGAGAAAAGAAAGAAAATTCATTGAAACAAATCAAAATATGAGCTTTGAGGTTAACTAAATGCTAGGTAAGAAATGAATCTGATTTAAAATTTAATCAGTGAAATATACAATGAGACTAACCTCATGGTAGAAAGATTTTATAAATGTACCATTAAATAGGTTACAACTAAGAATTAACCTGTCTAGTTTAAAAATGAAAAAGCTACAAGTGGAGATGCAGAAACACAAGGAACTGGAAACTAAATGATGAAATTCTGATTCATTTTGGAAAAGAATTTGATAAAATACTGATGTACTTGAAAAGAATTTGATGTTCTGATTTGGTTCTAGAAACTACTTTAGAAAATATGTTAGGTTCCTGCTAGCCTCTGGTCACAACATTTCTGTCAATAAATAAACTTGTTTTGTGTGCGCTTCTGTTAAAGACACCTTATTTAATATGTTATTGATTCATTAACATTGAACTCACAGACAAAAGCACTATAACTCATATGTGAGTGAAGCTTATCCATCACATGTATTTTCTCCATAAGGCACATCACAGCCTTCGTATGCTTAAGAACTCTAGAGAGCACTTCGACACTATACTTGAGGGCAATTTTATACAGTAAAATTGCTAACTAAAAGCACAAAAAGAATGTGAAAAACATGGCACTAAATAAACTGTGGGAAGGATGCTTGTTTGCAGTATGGGAGTTGAAAGGCAAAGAAGCACCCCCTTGTTGACCTCAGCTAGGAATGTGTGCATCTGGTGGCTCAACTTTTTTGCTACTCAGCACATAACCATGAAAGTGCTAAAAATATTGGTTTGGGGTGTTTATCTATTCAATGACAAATTTATTTAAAGAGTTGCACAGGATGAGACAGGTTAACTAAGATGCACTCAAGGAAGCAGTCATTGATGGATAGAATGTAAGTGGATTGAGATTAAGTATAGATCAACGTTCCTTCACTATAAATATTGTCATGAATAAAAATCCATTCCATATACCAAGAAAGGAGATTTGCTCATTTCAAACGGTAATGAATACCGCAAAATTCCTGTACAGCTGTATATTACAAGATGAAGATACATGGACTCTGGAGCCAGGCTGACCTGGTGCCACAACAGCATCATTCACCAACTGGGTGATTAGGTTATCAGTTTCATGCCTTTGAGCCTCAGTCTCCTAATCTGAAAACTGGGGTCATAACTTCAAGGGCTTTTCTGAGAATCAAATGTGACAATGTATGTAAAACAAAAACTGGTCCACAGAAGTTTCTCAGTAAATGTGAGCTTTGCCTCCACAGAGAGTTTGAACATTTTAATAGGATTCTTTGCAATGGCATGAAATCTTTTAAATACAACATGAAGACAGCGAATTATCTCTATATAAACAATTAGAATGATCAGAATTAGAATTATTAGATATATTTCATGTTCATACAGTCACGACCTTCCCTTTATCTGTTCTTGTCCTTTACCCAGTGTTTCCTGTGAGTCAAAAAATTTTGATTTTTGTCAGAGTGAGTGAAATAACAGTGCTGGGTTTCCTTTGAGTGAGTGAAATAATGGTGTTGAGCTATGGAGGCTCACTCTGTGGCCCTGTTGGCTCAGCAGGGGCAGTTGCAACTCTATTTCCCCTTTGTTTGCTGGACTTATCCCTGTAACATCCAGGAAATGAATATCCAGGGAGGGGAGACATACGAAAGGCACAATGGGAGAAGCTGACCTCAAGTTAATGGAATCTGGGTTCTTTGAGAGAGAACACAGTGCTGGGAAAGCCCACGCAGGCTCTGTTCATCAGTCAGGCCTTCTGCCTCTCTTCGCATGTCACTGAATTCTTTTCTCACCCCAGAGTGAAAGCCCAGCATCTCCTCACACAAAGCAGGTCAATTTAGACAGCAATTAACCTTTCCATGCTTTTCCCACACACATGTGGCATGGAAGACAATTGACAGGTAAATATTTGCAGAAAATAAAACTATATATATAGGAGAAAAAAACTATATATATATATATATATAGGAGAAAGTAGTAAATTCTTGCAATCAATCAGCAAATACGTATTGGTGTGTCCTCTGTGCTGGATACTGTTCATGGTGCTGGGGACAGAGGGGAAATGAAAATCGACAGAAGTGACATCTAACTTTTATTGAGTGATTTTTTTTTTCCTTTTTGTCTTTTTTACTGACCGGTAACGGGATCGCAACCCTCGGTGTCGTGCCCGTACCGGGGACCGGCAACAAGATCGCAACCCTCGGTGTTGCGCCCGCACCACGCTCAGCCAGTGAGCGGGAACCGGTCTCCACATGGGATCCGAACCCTCGGCGGGAGCGCCGCCGCACTCCCAAGCGGCGCACTCTCCAGTGCGCCACCGGGCCGGCCCAAAAAAGTTTTAATTTTTTAAGATTTATGTTTGGGGGCTGACTGGTTAGCTCACTTACTTAGAGCACAGCCTTATAACACCAAGGTCACAGGTTCAAATCCCCATACTGGCCAGCTGCCATAAATAATAATAATAATTCATGTTTGGGTTTCGAGAAGTTTGGCATTCTACATATTAGCCTCTGGTCGATAATTTGATAGGGTTCAAGCTCCTAGATGACAATTATTGTCTCAAGCAATGTGGCAACCATACCAAACTGAATCTGGGAGAGAATGGAATCAGCCTTTTACTCATGGGAAAAAAAGAACCAATGAGAAGAAAGTAAAGAAGTTGAAAGTGGCTGCCTGAGAAGGGAAATGGGAAAGCAAAGGGCTACTATGTTTCTCGTAAGTCTTTCAGTATGCTTCTGATTTTTAAAATTATGCTCACATATTTTAAATATTTTCCAGAGTTTCTGCCCACTTTTAATAGGATTATCTTTATTTTTCAAAAGATTTGAAGGGATTATTTAAATTAATATAAGACAGTCATTGACATCATCTTAAATTTCTAAAACATAAGACCTGTCTTCAGTAAAATGCCCATGTGAATCTTCTATAAAAAATTCATTAAAAAAACTGAAGGGTTCTGTTAGCAAGAAAACAATCTCTTGAATACAGAACTAAAAAGCATTGAGTTGTATACTTTAAATGGCTGAATTGTACAGTATGTAAATTATATCTCAATAAAGCTGTTAACAAAAAGAACAAAGGAACGAAGAAAGAAATCTCTTTCTCACTGTTCCAAGCAATAAGTATAATTCATTTCAAACAGGAAAAGAAAAAGGACTAGTCTCTTTTCTTAAAAGTAGTCAATTCAAAGACAATTTAGAGAACAACATGTTTGGAAATCTCAAGTTTGCTGTGAACACATATTTCTTATCCCAAAAGCATTACCACAAACTTACAACATGCGAGGCATTCACCTAGATATACAAAAAGTAATGCTAAGAGGGGTTGGTAAAATGATAGAAATGAGCCAATAACTGATTATCTTTCCAACACCAAGATGATGCTTGGACTCACTGGCAATAACAGAGCACTTTGGGCTGTCTTTCCTTATACGTGGATTAATCCAAACGTTCTCCCCTGATCCCTTCCATAGAAAGCTATTTTACAAGATGTGTAGGGATAGACAGACTATCCACATAGTGAGGAAACAACAAAGCTATTTTGCACAGAAGGGTACTAGACCTGATCTACACATTTTTAGCAAGTTGGCCAACCCATAAACTAAAGAAATTTAGAAAGAAAGATTAAGTATGACAGGAAAACTTAAGATTCAGCATAAACCTTTATACGCAGAAAATTCACCAAAGTTTTTAAAAGAAAGTATTATTAAGATTGACATAATTGTTTATTTGTTTGCAATTTCAAAATAATAAAGACCACCAGTCTGGGGAAATACTAATCACTGGGACAGCTCACAGCTTAAGTGAAGTATCATCAAATGCAACTTTAATCCAAAAAAATTCTGCTTTGGAAATATATCTCACGATGACAAAAATAAACTTCTGTGATGATTCTGGATGGAAAGGCAACCATGTGCTTTGTTCTGACAATCCAGGGTTTTAATGCTTAGCATGCGCAGAACTCCTAAGCTCCACAGAAAGCAATCTCACTTTCAAGAATAAGAGTTCAAAGTGAGTCTTGCTATTATGTATTTTCCTAGGGCACTACTTTCCAGAACAAGCAATTCTTTATAGAGTATACACATGCTGGATTTCTCCAAGCTGCCCTTAGTCAAAACAGAAAGGGATAGTAGGGAAACTGTCTTGAACATCTGGCACAGGTGCAGTGCTTTTGTTAGCTAAGCTTCTTCTGCAGCACATGGATAAAAGTGGCCAGGTGAGCCAAAGAGACTGAACTATTAGGTCTAGGGCCCTTCAAATGTTTTTAACCTTTCTGTTCCCTTCTCATCATTCAAACTACATGTTCCATGCTGAGGACCCAATATACCTGTGCTGTGCCACAGACCTCCAGCCAGGTTGACAGAAAATGGAAGATGAGGTTTTTTTCTAAAGCGGGCCTACAGCAGACAAGTTGATAAGCTGAGACTTCTCCGATGGGGCAGGTTGGCTTTGTGTTTTCAGCTGCAAAAAGGGTGGGTTGCTGTAGTGGACTGAATTATGTCCCCCCAAAACTCACTGAAGCTTGAATTGTAACCCCCAAGTTTTATGTATTAGAAACTTAGCCCCCTCTGTGACTGTTAAGAGGGTGGGAAATCCTATTACGGTAATTGAAAGGTGGAGCCTTGAAGAGGTGATTGGATTGTGGGACCATGCCATAGTAAATGGATTAAAAATGGTGGTCAGGGGTGTGGTTCTGAGGGCTTTAAAAGAAGAGAGACTCTCTCTCTCTCTCTCTCTTGCTCTCTCTCTCTGCTGCCAACATCTTGCAATATGAGACCACTGAGTCACTGTTGCCACCACCAAGACCCTCACCAGCTGTGTTCCCTGGTTACAGTTTCTGGTTACAGTTCCCTGGCTCCCAGTTTCTTCCCAGCCTAAGAAACTGTAAGCAATAAATATCGTTTTTCTTTATAAGTCACCCAATTTCAGGGATTTTGTTATAAGCAACATAAACAAACTAATACAGTTTTCACCCCCACACTTTCTGTTGCTGCTAAAATTGGCCTCTTACACAGCTAGAGGGAGCAAGTCAGCAGAGGCAGTGCCCCATCCCCATCCTCAAGTGTTTGCTTGGATCTGTTAGCTAATTTCCCAGGCAACCAGTAGTTCAATGGATCTTTTTGGTAGCCTCCCTCAAGCAATGGTACAAACACCTGTCCCTTCCTCACGTGTTCTCAAGTTGCCATGGACTTGAAATGCCATCTTTAACATACACTAAGTCTTATATGTTTGGGTCTGTTTTGGGGCTTTCTTATTCTGTTCTACTTGTGAGGCTTTCTCAACAATATTATATGAATGAAAGTTGTAAGAAAGAGAACAAAAGAATAGTGTTGAGAACAAAGTGACATAAAATTCTTAAAAATTAATATTCTGTATATTAGTTGGATTTATTTCATTTATTTAGATTATCTTCAAAAACTGACATAAAAACAGGTGGAAAAAGGCAAAATGAAAAGGCTCCCTTGGGCAGGTCTGTGGCTTACTTGGGAGAGTGTGGTGCTGATAACACTAAGGTCATGGGTTCGGATCCTATATAGGGATGGCTGGTTAGCTCACTGGCTGAGTGTGGTGCTGACAACACCAAGCCAAGGGTTGAGATCCCCTTACCGGTCATCTTTATAAAAAAAAAAAAAGAAAGAAAAGGCTCCCTTGATGCTTTTTTTTAAAATAAAATATGAGAACCCTAGAGAACTGCCCTTTTCACTTCAATAGTAATGATTCCCTTCTAAGTTTTCATATACAGCTTCAACCTCTCATATGATCTCTAACATCCTACACGTCATCCCTATTCAAATTCCCTAATGTTACTGCAAACTAGACATGGCCCAAGCCACCTTCCCTTTTTAAAAACCACATTTTTCATCAGTGCTTCTACTATTCTTTAAAGTGACTGAAAACCATACTTTCATATACTATTTCCTATTGTCTAGTTGTTTCAGGTATGAAGGCAAATTCAGACCCTGTTATTCCATCATGGCCAAAAGCAGAAGTCTCCAAATGACATGTGAATTACAAACAGCACGACATAACATACACAGATTTTGTAAACATAACTTTGTTTATTAACATAGACTTTGGAGTCAGAATTATTTGGGTTCAAATTCTACTTTTATCGCTTAAAAAAACTTAAAAGAAAAAACACAATGAGATGCCATTTCATACACAACTAGAATGGCTCTTATTAAAAAAACGAAAGAAAAGAAAAAAATTACAAATGTTGGTGAGGGTGTGGAGAAATTGGAAGCCTTGTGCATTGCTGGTGGGAATGTTAAATGGTGTAGCCACTGTAGAAAATAGTATATAGCTTCCCCAAATTAAACACACAATTACCATATGATCCAGCAGTTCTACTTCTGTGTACAGACAAAAAAGAAGAAAAAGCTGGTACCCCAATACTCATAGCAGCATCATTTACATTAGCCAAAAAAGGTGGACACAACTCAAATGTCTATTGACAGATGATGGATAAACAATATATGGTACATACATACAATGGAATATTATTCAGCCTTAAAAAGGAAGGATATTCTGACACATGCTACAGTATATATGAACCTTGAAGACTTTATGCTAAGTGAAATAAGCCAGTCACAAAAGGAGAAATACTGCATGATTCCACATGAGGTACCTGGCTTGGTCAAATCCATAGAGACAAAAGGCAGAATAACAGTTGACAGGGGTTGAGGGGAAGAGAATTATCATATAATAGGTATATAGTTTCAGTTTGAGGAGATAAAACATTCTGGAGATGGATGGTGGTAATGGTGTATAAAAATGTGAATGTATTTAATGCCACTGAACTGTAAATGGTTAAAAAGGTAAATTTTATGTTATGTACATTTTACCATAATAATAATAAAAAAAAGTTTAATACTCCTGCCCTACAAAGGTACCAATTCCACACAGCATTTGAGATAACTGGATTTCCTACTCACTGACTACTTGTATGACCTTGGGCTGGTTATTTAAGGTCCAGAGAAGCTTTGAGAATCTAGCATAAAACAGGCATTTAATACAAATGTGTTTGCTGCCTCCAAACCCCTATCTCTCTCCTCCTAAGGCCTAACCTCTTCAAGTATAAAAAGCCTAAGGCAGGTAAACAAGTGACTCCAATCTTAATATGACATAACTTCTGAGGCATTTGGAGGTGGCCTCTCAGACAGATGTCAACTACTCCCACCCTCTAAGGAGAAGAAAGTCACCAAACTTTCAGAAAACACGGTAAGTACTTCTTTAAGAGGTTTCCCAGACATATTTCTACTGAAGTAATATCAGAATATAAAATTATCAGTCCTATTTTTCTGATCTCTTAGGAGAGACTGATATGACATAAATAATCACACTTACCTGTATTGCCACCCAGTGACAAGGTTGGTGTACTTCATTAAATAGCCATACACGTTTTCCATGTGATCACTGTTTCAAAAAAAACAGAAAGAGCCAAAGTCAGTGAAAATTAAAAGAAATCCCAGGAGGATAACTGTACAGTTCTGAAAATGGCTGTAGAGAAATATATTTTCCATAAATGCCTCAAAAGGTAAAATTTATAGGTTAACAGAGGCATTTAATTTCCCAAATTTCATATCTATAGTATTTTATTTTACCAGATTTCTTCAAAACACGTGTAATACACTATAAGGGTATGTTCTGTTATAGCAGTTCATAGGAAATGAAATACCTCATAGATACTTTTTTCCCCAATATTTTAAGGTTCCTTCTACTCATGAAAAGATAGTAAAGCTAAATCTGCAGTGCTATATCTTTTTGATATGTGGGCTTCATTTTTTATTTTGTACTTTATACTAAATTCCTTTCACACTCACCTTTTCTATTCTGCTCTTTTAACTTTACACTATAAAATGCAATGGAAAAAAGATATGTATTTTCTCCACTATCCCTGAATCACAGAGCATATTTGGTAACATTTCAGCTAACCCGCATGCAAGAAATTAAAAGTGTCAAGCAATTGGCAATCTTTAAAACATGGATAGCAAAATCAAAAGTAATCTGGATCCCTATACTGGCCAGCCGCCAAAAAAAGGGCAAGAGCAAGCAAGGGAGAGCTGACACGACCAATAGAACAAAGTTCAAACAAGGTTTAGATTGACCTCAATGACAAATGAAAAGACCTGAAGACAAAGACACTCTCAAAGGCTAAAAAAATGACCAATTTGACTGTAAGATTCTTTTTTTTTTTTTTTTTTTTTTCTTTTTTTACTGACCGGTAACGGGATTGCAACCCTCGGTGTCGCACCCGCACCGGGGACCGGCAACGTGATCGCAACCCTCGGTGTC